AACTTTTAAGATCCACCACTCTCTTAGCAACTTTCAACTATGCAATACAGTATTATTATTAACTGAGGCCCCCACACTATGCACCACATCCCCAGGAATTGCTTATTTCATAACTGGAAGTTGGTTATCTTTTGGCCACCTTCACGAATTTCACCCACCCTGCAACTCTGCCTCTGGCAACTACCGGTCTGTTTTTTATATCTGTGAGTTTGGGGTTTTGTTGTTGTTCTTGAAGATTACACATATGCGATAGATTGTATGGCATTTGTCCTTCTCTGTCTCACTTATTTCACTTAGCATAATGCTTCAAGGTCCATCTGTGCTGTGACAAATGACAGGACATCCTTGTTTGAGAGAGAGTGAAGGGGAGGGAGAGAGAGTTTGTTGTTGTTTTTTTTAATTTATTTGGGGGAAAAAAGATTTATTTATTTGAAAGGGTAGGGGAGAGGGGCAGAGAGAGACAGTCTTAAGCAGACTTCATGACACTGAGATCACGACCCGAGCCAAAACCAAGAGTCGGTCACTTAACAAACTCACCACTCAGGCGCCCCAGAACGTCCTTCTTTTTTATGACTAAATAGTACTCTTGTTTTTATGTGTGTACATACATACACACATTTTCTTTATCCTTTCATCTGCCATTAGACACTGATGTTGTTTCCATGTTTTGGCTGTTGTAGATAATGCTGTAGTGAACACAAGGGTGCAGATCCTGTTTGTGTTTCCATTTTCTTTAGATAAATACCCAGAGATGGAATTGCTGGGCAATATGGTGGTTCTTTGAGGAATCTCCATGAAGTTCTTCATAGTGGATGTACAAATTTACATTCCCACCAATAGTGCACAAGGGTTAGCTTTTCTCCACATCCCCCAACACTTGTTATTTCTTGTTTTTTTTTACAGTAGCCATTCTAGCAAGTGTGAGATGATATCTCATTATGGTTTTGACTTGCATTTCTGTGATGATTCTTGATGTTGAGCCCCCTTTTTCACGTAGCTGTTGGCCATTTGTATGTCTTCTTTGACATATTCAGATACTGTGCCCATTAATTGGATCATTTGTTTTGTTGATACTGGGTTATATGAGTTCTTTATATATTTTAGATATTAACCTCATATGATTTACAATTACTTTCTGTCATTCTGTAGTTTGCCTTTTCATTTTGTTGGTGGTTTCCTTTGCTGTACAAAAGCTTTTTAGTTTAAGGTAGTCTCACTTGTTTATTTTTAAATGCTTTTGTCACCCTTGTTTCTGGTGTCAAACCCAAAAATCATCACCGACACTGACATCAAGGAACTTACCCCCTGTGTTCTCCTCTAGGAACTTCATAGTTTCAGGTCTTCCCTTTCAAGGCTGTGATCCCTTTTGAGGTGATTTTTGTGTGTGGTGTATGATAGGAGTTCAATTTGATTCTTTTGCATGTGTCTGTCCACTTTCCTCACCATTTATTGAAGAGACCGCCAGTTCGCCTTCGTATGTTCTTGGCTTCTTGGTCATAAATTAATTGACGGTTTGTGCTTGTGTTTATTTCTGGGTTCTCTCTTATGTTCTGTTCATATGTGTGCGTGTTATTATGCCAGGACTACACTATTTTGATTACTGTAGCTTCGTGGTATAGCTTGAAATCAGGAAGTGTGGTTCCTCCAGCTTTTTTATTATTTTTCTGTTGCTTTGGTCTTTTGTAATTCCACACAAATTTTGGGCTTGTTTGTTCCGCCAGTGGAACATGCCAGTGGAATTTTGACAGGCATTGCCCTGAATCTGTAGATTGCTTTGGATAGCATGGACATTTTAACAGTATTCTCCCAGCCCTTTAACATGGATTATCTTTCAGTTAATGATGCCTTCTTCAGTTTCTTTTATCAGTTTTTAGTGCACAAGTCTTTCACCTTTTTGGTTAAATTTGTTCCTATGTATTTTATTCTTTTTGCTGCTACTGAGAATGAGATTGTTTTCTTAATTTCTCTTTCTGATAGTTCATTATTAGTGTATAGAAATGCAACTGATTTTTATATTTTGATTTTTTTATCCTTCAGCTCCTGAATTTATCAGGTCTAACAATTTTTGTGGAGTATTTAGGGTTTTCTAAATGTAGTATCATGTCATTTGCAAATAGAGACAGCTTTACTCCTTCTTTCCAGCTTAGATACTCTTTATGTCTTGCCTAATTGCTCTGGCTAGGACTTTCAGTTCCATGTCCAATTAAAGTAGTGAGAGTGGGCATCCTTGTCTTGTGCCTGATCTTGGAGGAAAGCTTTCCATCCTTTCCACTGAGTGTGTTGTGAGCACTGTGCTTCTCATAGACAGCCTTTATTATGCTGACGTGCATGCCTTTGTGTCCACCTTGTTGAGAGTTTTTATCATGAATGGATGTTGAGTTTTGTCACATGCTTTTCTTGCATCTGTTGAGATGACCATATGATTTGTGTCCTTTGTTTTAGTTATTGTGGTATATCACATTGATTGTTTTTGCAGGTGTTGGACCATATTTATCCATGGCCTAAATCGCCGCTTGATCTTGGTGTATGTTCCTTTTAATGTATCTTTTTATTTGTTTTGCTGATAGTTTGCTGAGGATATTTGCACCTCTGTTCATGAGGAATATTGGCCTGCAATTTTGTTTTCTTTTAGTGTCCTGGTGTGGCTCTTTATTCTGTTCTCCTGATCTATCTTGTCTGTTTTTGTGCCATTACCATACTGTTTTGTTTACTACAGCTCTGTAGTATATCTTGAAATCTGGAACTGTGATACATCCAGCTTTGTTCCTCTTTCTCAAGATTGCTTTGGCTATTCAGAGTCTTTTATGGTTCCATACAACTTTTGGATTATTTGTTCTAGGTCTGTGAAAAATGTTGTTGGTATTTTTTTTACGTTTATTTATTCATTTATTTAAGCAATCTCTACACCCAGTGTGGGGCTCAAATTCACAACCCCAAGGTCGAGAGTTGTAGGCCCTTGCAACTAAGCCAGCCAGGTGCTCCATGTTGTTGGTACTTTGATAGGGATTGCATTGAAACTGTAGAATGCATTGGCTAATATGGACATTTTAACATTAATTCTTCTAGTGCATGAGCATGGAATGTCATTCCCTTTGTTTGTGTCATCTTCAGTTTCTTTTATCAGTGTCTTACAGTTTTCGGAGTGTAGGTCTCTCACCTCCTTGGTTAAATTTATTCCTAGTTATTTTATTCTTTTTGGTGCAGTTGTGTATAGGATTCTTTTCTTTTTTTTTTTTTTTTAAGATTTTTTATTTTATTTTATTGAGAGAGAGCATGAGAGAGAGGAGGGTCAGAGAGAGAAGCAGACCCCCCGCTGAGCAGGGAGCCCGATGCGGGACTCGATCCTGTGACTCCAGGATCATGACCCGAGCCAAAGGCAGTCGCCTAACCAACTGAGCCACCCAGGCGCCCCGGATTATTTTCTTAATTTCTGTTTCTGCTACTTACTTATTTAGTGTATAGAAACATAGCTGATTTCTGTGTATTGATTTTTATTTATTTATTTATTTATTTATTTATTTATTTATTTATTTATTTATTTATTTGACAGAGAGAGAGAGACAGCGAGAGAGGGAACACAAGCAGGGGGAGTGGGAGAGGGAGAAGCAGGCTTCCCGCCGAGCAGGGATCCCGATGCAGGGCTCGATCCCAGGACCCTGAGATCATGACCGGAGCCGAAGGCAGTCGCTCAACCAACTGAGCCACCCAGGCGCCCCGAAATTTTTAATTTTATTTAATTTTTTTTTTAAGATTTTATTTATTTATTTGACAGAGAGACACAGCGAGAGAGGGAACACAAGCAGGGGGAGGGGGAGAGGGAGAAGCAGGCTTCCCGCGGAGCAGGGAGCCCGATGTGGGGCTGGACCCCAGGACCTTGGGATCATGACCTGAGCCGAAGGCAGACGCCCAACGACTGAGCCACCCAGGCGCCCCTGTGTATTGATTTTCTATCCTACAACCTTACTAAAGTCATTTATTGCTTCCAGTAATTTTTTGGTGGAATCTTTAGGGTTTTCTATGTGTAGTAGTATGTCATCTGCAAATATGGACAGTTAACTTCTTCCTTACCAATTTGGATGCCTTTTCCCTTTTTTTACGTGTCTGGTGTTTTGGTTAGGACTTCCAGTATTAGAAACTGGAGAGAGTGGGCATCCTTGTCTTGTGCCTGATCTTCGAAGAATTAGTTTATTCTTTTTCTGGTTCCTTGAGGTGTAAAGTTACATTGTTTGAGATCTTTCTTCTTTCTTAATGTAGGCCGTTAATCACTATGAACTTCCCTCTTGTAACTGCTTTCGCTATATTCCTTAATTTTGATGGATTGTATTTCCATTTTCATTTGCCTCAAGATTTTTTTTTCTTTTTGATTTCTTCATTGGCCCATTGTTGTCCAGTAGCATGTTTTCTAATCTCCACATATTTGTGAATTTTCCAGTTTTCTTCCTGTAGTTGATTTCTACTTTAATACCACTGTGGTTGGAAAATATGCTTGATATGATTTCAGTCTTCTTAAATTTATCAAGATTTGTTTTATGATCTAACATTTGATCTGTCTTGGATAATGTTCCATGTGTACTTGAGAAGAATGTGTATTCTGTTGCTTTTGGATGGAATGTTCTGTATAAGTCTAAGGGTGTTTAATTAGAAGCCTACCCCTTGAGGCCATACCTATGAAGATAAGATAATAGGCCTGTTTCATGGAGAGACTGGGCATTTCTGTCTCCTGCCTATGAGCTGCTGAATGGGGAGGCAGGTAGCTGGTTAAAAACTGTTTCTCTGTTTGTTACAGTCCCTTAATAAACTGGTGAATGGGGGCACCTGGGTGGCTAAGTTGTTAAGCGTCTGTCTTCGGCTCAGGTCATGATTCCAGGGCCCTGGGATTGAGCCCCACATTGGGCTCCTTGCTCAGCGGGGAGCCTGCTTCTCCCTCTCCCACTCCCCCTGCTTGTGTTCCCTCTCTCACTGTCTCTCTCTCTGTCAAATAAACAAATAAAGTCTTTTAAAAAAAGAAGAAAAAGAAGTTCCTCAACGAATGCAGACATGCTACGAAGTTCTCCAGACTCTTCCAGTACCATGACTGCCATCACATGACAGGGCTCTCCAAGTCTAGGAGAAAAAGAAAGAAAAATCTTTCTTGATAAAAGGATAAAGTTTTGACAGTTATTTCAGTCCCTTATAGGAACATTAATATGCTTTTCTCCAAACTTAGAAATTCCCAATAGATAAAGCATCATTCACATTAATAAAATACGACTTACCTTTTGTTAACCTAGGGACTCGAACTTCCTTTTGATTTTCAGGTTCTCTTCACCTTATTTGTTTGCCAAACAAGACAGATTTTAGGATACTGGTATGTTCATTAAAGTCTGGATTCTGCCAGAAATCCCCGTATCCTCTCTCTGACAAGGTGCTGGAGCAAGCCCCTGGTTCGACTCAGCAGCTGTCTGGGAAATTTAGAAGAAGACATCTTAGTGGTTTCATTATTTGGGGCTTGGGGCCAAGATTAGAGATGACAAGATTTGAGAATAAGGTAATAAATGCCTGAAGTCAAGACATGGTTATAGACGGCATTTAAGATAAATATCATAACCATTAACAATCATTAGGAATGCTCGCTTTTTCTATTTTTTCTTAAATATTTGTATACTTTTTCTACCATTTGATGGTGGATTTGTCTGATTGAATTTGATATCTGCATTGCATTCAAATGATAAATGATTAAAACTAATAAATTACCAAAGAGAGAGAAAGCTGGCCACAAATCCTGAATGGGTTGCATTTATAAATAGAACATTATGAAAGGCAGATTACTTTCTTTTGATAAGAAAAGCACAAGGGTTTTTTCATTTACACACATATACACGGAAACAGTAGTCTCATTTTGCAGCTTCAGCCATTGGTCAGAAGTAAACGGCTGTCACAGAAACTTAGTGTTTAGCTTACTTTGTCTTGTGGCAGTTCTGTGTCTGAAATGGTTACTTTCATTCCTACAGATTTTCTCCTGAATGATTTGAACGATCAGTGTCACACACGCAGTGAATACCTTGGAAAATGACTAGGAGTGTTCAGAATCGAGACCCAACTGATAAAGAGCCACATTCTCTCTCTGTTGACCACTCTGCCCAGCTCACATGGAACAGAGTATTGGAAAATGAGAGAGAGAGTCCCATGCCGCTATCGCCAACAAGGAAAACAGTGGTCATGCCTGAAATTAGAACCAAAATCAGACGTGGCCAAGAGCTAGGAAAAGGATTTCTCACATGATTGTACTGTTCATAGCGGTGCCACAGATCCTGGACATCAGCGTTGCAGAATCAGGGATGAAGTTGTTTTTGTTAGAGAATCAGTCAGGAGTTGATGGGAGGTGCAATCAGGGGGGCTTGTGTTTCATTTGGTAGGTTGAGGACTACAAGTCTACCGGTGACCCTGGATTTTTTTGTAGTTTTGTGTGTTCGCTCTCCTCGGGGTGCCCAGTATTGCCCTCCCTGACCGCTGTCTGTCACCTGCTTGCTGACCCTCAGGGAAGCAGGGTGAAATGTGGGGTTTGCTTCCATTCCTGTTGTCACTAAATGGAACCTTTTATGTTCTCAATTTAATTTGCCTGGGTAAATCTTGAATCTAATAAAGTGTAGACCAAATTTTCTCTCATACAGAATGCTTGGTTCTAGACACAGTTGCTTTCTTACCCTATTTGACTTTGATTCATGATGAAGAAATACAATTTTTAGTTGGATTTAAAAAATTCCTATCTCTGGGGCGCCTGGGGGGCTCAGTCGGTTAAGCGTCTGCCTTCGGCTCAGGTCATGATTCCGGGGTCCTGGGATCGAGCCCCGCGTCAGGCTCCCTGCTCAGCAGTGAACCTGCTTCTCCCGCTCCCTCTGCCTGCTCCCCCTGCTGGTGTGCTCGCTCTCTCTCTCTCTCTCTCTCTCAGGTAGGTAGATAGATAAATCTCTGTTCATAGTTATTATTTTGGGTTTTTTTAAATGAGAAAAGTGGTTTTTAGATATAAGTAGAACAATCTCATACCTTTGCTTTTCTTCTTTGAAACTGTTTCCCAAACTCCTTGCCAGTGCTTTAAACACTTCGCATGACCTCATTCACAATTTCTGACCTCGTCTGTACTCCTTCAGCCTCCCTTTATTTGCTCTAATTCTCCGGTCCCATTCCAGTTGTGATCTTCTACCAGATAATTTATTTCCTCTGCCTAGTCTTCCTCCGTTTCCCACATTCTGTCATTGCCGAGACCCAGTAACACTTAGAGCTGAGCTGAATGTCATCTCCTTAGAAAAACCTACCTAGGGGCGCCTGGGTGGCTCAGTTGGTTGGGCGACTGCCTTCGGCTCAGGTCATGATCCTGGAGTCCCGGGATCGAGTCCCACATCGGGCTCCCTGCTCAGCGGGGAGTCTGCTTCTCCCTCTGACCCTCCCCCCTCTCATGCTCTCTCTATCTCATTCTCTCTCTCAAATAAATAAAATCTTAAAAAAAAAAAAAAAAGCCTACCCAGTTACTCTCTGTTCATCACATTTTAATTATTGGCCTAGCATTTATTATTTTCTGATTTTTTTTTTCTGTTTTCTTAGTTTTTCATACCTCCTTATTGTCTGTGTACCTAAGAACAGTGTAAACTGTCTTGTTCACCGCTGTCTCTTAGCACTTAGAACAGGACCTGGAAGGGCACCTGGGTGGCTCAGTCAGTTAAGCATCTGCCTTCGGCTCAGGTCATGATTCCAGGGTCCTGGGATCAAGTCCCCCGCCGGGCTTCTTGCTCAGCGGGGAGTCTGATTCTCCCTCTCCTTCTGCCCCTCCCCCTGCTTGTGCTCTCTCTCTCTCTCTCAAATAAATAAATAAAATCTTAAAAAAAAAAAACAAAAACAAAGAAAAGAACAGGACCTGGACTTAGTGCTTAGTAATTGTTGAATAAATAAATGAATGATCTAGTAGAAGGAACCAGTGTTCAAATTTAAGAACTTCAGGTTCTACAAATAACTTATTTTGGGAGCCTCACTTTTTTTACCTGCTTGTTACAAAATAGAATAGACTTGGTTTTTAAAAAGCAGTATGTTGTGATTCACAGGGAAAAGACATACATCAGCCTTGCCTTATTTACTGGAACTTAATGGCAAAATAAAACCAGAGTAGACTAAGTGAGGCTCTCCTGAAACCATTTTTTCTCTCTTTTTCTTCCTTTCCTTTTTATTTCCTTCTTTTTTTTCCCCCTTTTATGTATTTGTGAAATGTCTTAAGACTGATCTCATACCAAACATTAGAAACACAGACCAGTAAGACAAGTAGAAGAGGTAAGTCTATGGAGACATTGGGGAATAAAATAAAAAGAGTAGTCAGTGAGTAGAAGCTGGGCAAGAAACTGAGGTTTTTATCTTAAATCTCCTTAATAGCTACTAAAAATAAGGCAAGTCACTTGACTTCATAGAGCATCTGTTTTCAAATTTGTAAACTAGAGCTAACATTTCTTCTTCCCTACTTCATAGGATTGATATAAATGATAATGTGTGAAAGTACTTTATAAATCATCAGGGACAGGGAGCATGCGACTCTTGATCACGGAGTTGTGGGTTCAAGCCCCACATTGGGTGTAGAGCTTACTTAAAAGATTTTTTTAAAAATCTTTTTTTTGGGCGCCTGGGTGGCTCAGATGGTTGGGCGTCTGCCTTCGGCTCAGGTCATGATCTCAGGGTCCTGGGATCGAGTCCCGCATCAGGTTCCCTGCTCAGTGCAGAGCCTGCTTCTCCCTCTCCCTCTGCCACTCCCTCTGCTTGTGCTCTTCTGTCTATCTCTCTGTCAAATAAATAAATAAAATCTTTAAAAAAAAAAAAAACAAACTTTTTTTTTAAAGATTTAAAGTCCAACTCTTGATTTCAGCTCAGGTCGTGATCTCAGGGTCATGGGATCATGCCCTGAGTCAGGTTCCGCACTCAGCGGGGAATCTGCTTGTCCCTCTCCCTGTGCTCCTCCCCCTGCTTGCACTCTCTCTCTCTCAAATAAATGAATAAATAAAATCTAAAAAAAAATAATAAATGTTGAAAATAATACGTACATACATACTATAAATTATTGGCCAAGTATAAAGTAATTATTATGATCAGATCTGAAATTTAGGTTCCTTTTGCAAAACTGCTGGAAAATGCTAACATGGCTCTTTTTTATGTATAATTCCTAAAAGACAATTCCAAAAATACAGATTCTAAAAATACATGAATGTACTTGATATCCCTCCCCCAAAAAATATGCATTTAAAATTTAAGCCGGGACGCCTGGGTGGCTCAGTCGTTAAGCATCTGCCTTCAGCTCAGGTCATGATCCCAGGGTCCTGGGATCGAGCCCTGCATCTGGGAAGCCTGCTTCTCCCTCTCCTACTCCCCCTGCTTGTGTTCTGTCTCTCTCTCTGTCAAATAAATAAATAAAATCTTTAAAAAAATAAAATAAAATTTAAGCCACTGTTAAAACAAATACTTTTTTTAAGATTTTTTTTATTTATTTGACAGAGGGAGCGCAAGCATAAGCCAGGGGAATGGCAGGGAGAGGGAGAGCAAGAAGCCGGATGCTTAACCGACTGAGCCACCCAGGCACCCCAAAACAAATAACTCTTGACAGAGGATCTATTTTCTGTATTTGACCCACAGGAAGAGGTTTCATTGCCTCTGATTATTTTCCATTCTTTTCTGATCACAGCCCAAAGAGCCGATTGATCCAATTAAAGAAAGAGAAGCTGGAATACACTCCAGGAGAGCATGAGTATGGACTGTTCCCAGCCCCCATTCATGTTGGTGAGTACTCAATATATACAATATGTTGCTAAGAAGAAATGGTATTTCTTGAGTTTGGATGAAATGGCTTTGTGTTCTTATTATTTCTGCATCTCCAATGAGGTTGAGCTCTTTCTTTACCGTTTAATTTATACTCAGTCTGAAGAATTCTGCAAATTCTTTGCCATCAAGGAGTCAAAATGACATAAATCTTCCTTACTCGAGTTTTAATAATAAAAAACACTATGTGTGTAGCGTTTGATTCCCTGAGTTATGACATCTAGGAAAACCCAGCTATTCACCACTTCAGTTTCAAACATTTTCCATGTTCAGAAAGAGATGATTTATGGATATGTAATAATCAACAGAAGAGAGCCACTACTTTTCCTGATCATTTATCTGCTTGAAAATTGAGCCAGAATTATCCTTCTATTCATTTTGGGGGGAAATGTCAAGGCTTCGTTTAGCATCAGTGTAATAGTGCCTTCTGGGATCCTACTGTTGAGCTTACCAGATGAGTAACAGGTACCTTGAAGTGATCCTGGATGCCTCCTGTTCTGACAGAGCCACATCCAGTCCATCCCCCCGAGTTCTGCTGTTGCCATCCCTGCAGTACATCCCACTTGTTTGCAGATCCTATTGTCACTCTCAAGTGCATCCCACACTTAACTTCCACTCAGACTCCTGCAGCAGCCTTCTGACGCATGTGTCCATTTCCATTCCTGCTCCCCTCCACATCACTCTCCACACAGAAAAGAAATGATCTTATAACTTAAACTAGATTATACTTAAAAAACCTTAGAGTGTCTTACTGTTAGAGTAAAGTATAAGCTCCTTACTGTAGCTTTTAAGAATGACCTGGTCCCGGGTGCACCTGGGTGGCTCAGTTGCTTAAGTGTCCAACTCTTGATTTCCGCTCACCTGGGTTCAAGCCCCTCATCAGGCTCCACACGCAGCAGGGAGTCTGCTTCAGGATTTTCGCTCCCTCTGCCCCTCCCCCCCCAAATAAATCTTTAAAAAAAAGAGAGAGAGAGAATGATCTGGTCCCCAACGACCCACCCTTCCCCATCATCCCTGTCTCTCTGTTCCCATCTCTCCCTTACCTGCTGTTTGATGTCTTGCTGGTCTTCTTTCAGGTCCTAGAACAGACTAAGGCCTTTCCCACCAGAGTATCCATATGCTTATTATTCTCGCTGACTAAAAAGCTATTCTTATTCTTCCCATGGTTTGTTTCTTATTCTTTAAGGATGAGCTTAATGTCAATATCCACTTAAATGTCATTTTCTTTAAAATTTTTTCCTGATTGTCCCATCAAAGAGGGTCCCTCCCTTTATATCACAGCACCCTGTTCATTTCTTTCTATAATCCATGACTACTCTGTTTCCTCATTAGTTATCTGTCTCCCTCATTAGATTATAAGCTCCAGGTGCAGGATCATTTGTCTCCCTTATTCTCCTTTGATTTCCTAGTGCCCGGTACATAATAGAACTTTAACAAATACATGTACAAATGAAAGTAAAGGAGGAGAAATCAGGACACTCTATTGAATTGGAAGTGACAGGAGCAGCTTACTTATGTAGTAGATGTAGACCCTGTGCATTACAGTGTTCTCTTTATGCTTCTCTTGAGCTTCATGACTATGGGACTCTTCTCTGTGTTATGATTATCAAATCCCCTTTTTTTTCCCAGAAGACCCAGTACCAGCAGTGTATTTAAAGGAGCAAGCATAGACGACACGTTCTGCAATAAAGATTAGTTTGCTTTAGTTATTCTGTACTAGGTGGATGGAGAATGGTTTAACTCCAACTTGAAGTTCCAAGGTTTAGTTCTCTTACCTTAATGAAGGTGAGAGTCAGTTCCACGTTCTCCGGGATCACTGCCAAGGTTCTTCTGAACGAGTGTTTTGTTGTTACAGTGATGTCACAACACTGGAAGCAGAGTCTCAGCAGATGTAGCTGTTTCCTAGAATCTGATCATAATAAATAGGCTTAGAAAGGAAGTCATTTAAAAGACCCATTTAACGAAAAACATGACCACTTTGGTCTTACTGGTTTTGTCCTGGCTGGGATCTAACTTAAGTCTTAAAACGAAGCTCTAACTTCATTCAAGGGGATGAAGGTGTCCGTTCATTCCAAGGAAGATAGGAAGAATAATAGGCCAGTATCTCTCTATCTCTTGCACAAATAGTGGTTAAGAGGTCAAGAATAGAAATCCCTTAATTTAAATAAAGATTTTATCTCCACATCCCCATTTTAATGTCCCACAAAGACTAATATGTACTCAGTATCTGCAAAGTGGGAAAATAATGGGAAAACCTGTCCAAGTGTAGTGGGTCTTTTTCCCTGTGAAACAAGGTTTAAAATCAGGCTGTTGCAGGACAGATTTTTTTTTTTTTCTGGACAGTGCTATTTTGTTGTTCAAATAATATTTTATGATTAGGTTAGAGTAGTGAGCCAGTAAGTTGTTCTGAACAGGTGATTTCCAGTATCATGTAAGTAAAAAGCATGACTTTGAGTCAGCCGGACCTCAGTTCATCTCTGTCTTTGCTGTATTAGTTGTATGAATAAAGTAGTTATAAAAATAGAATAATAATGCATCTTACCATTGATAAGAGTCAGAATCAATAAATGGAAAATCGTGTTTATTTTTAAACGCTTAACTAAGGAAATCAGGTTTCTTTATCTTATTAGAGAAGTGCATTTCAAATAGAGTTTTACTTCTCATGATACTTTCCAAAATGTATATTATACCCTTAAATTTATAGTCGATTGATTTTTGATGAGTGCCATGACAGTTGAACGAGGAAAGCATGGTATTTTCGGTAGATGGTTCTGTGATAACTGGATACACACATACAAAAGGTTGAAGTTGGACCCTTGCCTCACACCATTTAAAAAAAAATTGACTCAGCATGGATCATCAGCCTAAATACAACAGCTAAAACTATAAAACTCTTGAAGAAAACATAGGAGGAAATTTTCATGACCTTGGATTGGGCAGTAATTTCTTAGCTATAACACCCAAATCCTGTGCAACAAAAGAAAAAAACACAAATTGAACTTGGCCAATATCTAAAACTTTTGTGCTTCAAAAACACCACTAAGAAAATGAACAAACAATGCACAGAATGGGAGAAATACTTGCAAATTATGTATCAAGAGACTAGTATCCAAAAACCCATACATATAAAGGACCGTTGAGAATCAATATTAAAAAGACAACACGATTTTTTAAGTGGGTAAATTGTTTGAATAGACACTTCTCCAGAAGAGATCTACACATGGCCAATAAACACGTGAAAATATGCTCAACATCATTAGTTGTTAGGTAAATGGAAATCAAAACCATAATGAGATACCACCTCACACTCACTAGGATGACTTTAATTAAAGGATTGATGCATAATGTGAAGAAATTGAAAACCTCATGCATTGTTGGTGGGAACGTAAAGTGGTATAACCCTCTTTGGAAAACATTTTGGCAGGTCCTCAAAAAGTTAAACCTATAGTTACCATATGACCCAGCAGTTCTGCTGCTAGGTATCTAACCAATAGAATTGAAAGCACATGTCCACACAAAAACTTAGACAGAAATGTACATAGCAGCAATGTTCATAATAGCCAACAGGTGGAAGCAACCCAACTTTCCCAGTGGATAAATGGATTAACAAAATGTGGTCTGTGCATACGGTGGGATGTTCTTTGGCAATAACAAGAAATGAGGTACTGTCGGTCTCCTGGGTGGCTCAGTTGGTTAAGCTTCTGCCTTCAGCTCAGGTCGTGATCCCAGGGTCCTGGGATGGAGTCCCAAGTTGAGCTCCCTGCTCAGTGGGGAGCCTGCTTCTCCCTCTCCCTCTGCTGCACCCCCTGCTTTCTCTCTCTCTCTCTCTGTCAAATAAATAAAATCTTTAAAAAAGAAAGAAAGAAAGAAAAGAAATGAGGTACCGAGACAGGTAACAAAATGGATGAAGTATGAAAACATTACACTATATAAAAGGGGATAGTCACACAATGCCATGTGCTTTATGATTCCTTTTTTTTTTTTTAAGATTTATTTTTTAAGTACTCTCCATACCCATGATCCTGAGATCAAGAGTCACATGCTCCATCGACTGAGCCAGCCAGGGGCCCCAAAATCTGGGTTTTTTTAAATTAGGTCCCCACCTTTCTCATTTTAATAGAGAGCGTTTTTTTTAATAGATTTTATTTGTGACAACACTGTATTTGATATATTATTTTTTAAATAAGCTCTATGGCCAATGTGGGGCTTAATCTCAAGACCCTGAGATCAAGAGTCAAACGCTGTACTGACTTTGCCAGCCAGGCGCTTCTGTAGAGATTTATTTTAAGGGTCACACCCTCGTGGCAACTGGCAAGTCCAAAATCTACAGGGCAGGCAGGCAGCGTGGAGACCCAGGGGAGGGTTGATTTCACAGCTCAAGGAGTCGGAGGACAGTCTACGGAAAGAATTCCCTGTGGAGGTCAGTCTTTTTTCTTACTAAGAGTTTCAACTGTTTGGATGAATCCCACCCACATTATGGAGGGTAATCTGCTTGACTCACAATCTTGTGATTTAAATGTTAATGTCATCTAACAATTACCTTCACAGACACATCTAGAATAACGTTTGACCAACTATCTGTTGACACAGAAAATTAACCGTCACCAGAACTCCATGTACTAAAACCCACTGCACGGTACACTTAAAAAGAATGTATTTTATGGTATGTGAATTATGCCTCAGAAAAGCTGTTATCTTGAAAGTGTAGTTATGTTGTTTTAATCAGGCCTATATTAATCAAAATTATAGTGATACACAATGCAAAAGAAAAATTGTGATGCTTTGAGTCTTATGGTCACAGGTATTTTTTCTTATTTAAATTCAATTAATTAACATATAATATATTATTATTTTCAGAGGTAGAGGTCAGTGATTCATCAGTCTTATTACCCAGTGCTCATTACATTACATGCCTTCCTTAATGTCCATCACCTAGCTACCCCATCCCTCACAGGTATTTTTTTTTTTTAACAGACTGATTTTTTTTTTTAAGATTTTATTTATTTATTTGAAAGAGAGAGAATGAGAGAGAGCACATGAGAGAGGGGAGGGTCAGAGGGAGAAGCAGACTCCCTGCCGAGCAGGGAGCCCGATGCGGGACTCCATCCAGGGACTCCAGGATCATGACCTGAGCCGAAGACAATCGCTTAACCAACTGAGCCACCCAGGCGCCCCCTCACAGGTACTTTTAAATGTGAATTGGAACACTTTTTTATGGAGTAAGGGGATAGCTTCAATAAAAGAACTTTAAACATGAAAAAATATATAATATTAAGACAAAATCCTCTGGAATAAGTGGAATAGAGATAATGTTCAAAGACAGGAGATTATTTAAATTTCTAAATGTTAAAGAAGAGAATATTCCTTTTTTAATGAATAATGGTAAGTATTGAATCTTTATAGTATGCAGATTCATCATTTTAAAATGACAAAACTATATATTACATCATTTGTAGGGGTGGGGCGCCTGGCTGGCTCAGTCTGTAGAGCATGGGACTCTTGATCTCGGGCTCATGAGTTTAGTCCCCCTGTTGGGTGTAGAGATTACCTAAAAATAAACTCTTAAAAAAAAAATTATAAGGGGATTCATAGTTTTTCAAAATTCTTCTGGGGAGTATGGGAGCAAAAAAATGTGCGGACATGGTCTTTCACATTTGGCTTTTGGAATCAGGCCACGATTCAGATTCTACCTCCACCAATTACTACCTGTCTTACCTTGGGCAAGCTGACACATCTCAAGGCTTCACATTCTTTATTGTAAAATTGAAATTAATAGGAATATTCAATAAAATAATGCATGTAAGATATGTAACACATTACCTAGCACATAGTAATCATTTCATAAAAGATAACTACTGAATCAGAGTTTTTTTTTTATGGTAGAATACCAGTCAACAAAAATGTGTTACTTAGTACATAGCTATTACCTCTGGCAGTTATTATTAAATATATTATGTTGCCTTTTCTTGCTGAGCTCAGAAAATAATTCAGAATTCTTTTCAACACAGCTCTTCTTGGTTGCTACTGCTAGTCATTGAGATTTATGCCAAATCTTGACTGCTTTTCCTGATATAGTGGAGAGAACATAGGCCTTTATGTGCAAAATGGATTAAAATAGCAGACCTAAGACTTACTCTGAGAAAGGCCTGCTTGCAAGGTTGGGCATTGGCGGCATCTGGGACTTGAATGGCGAACATTTTCCTCTGTCAGTATAAAACCCTCCTGAATGGGAAAGCGTCTTACTGTGCCTGCTCTGTATAAACTGCGTAATTTCTGCTCAACACCTGCTTTCATTTGAAGACTCTGGAATTTGGTACATTTTAGAGAGTACCTGTATGATCAGCCACCGATCAAAACCTTGGGCACTGAGTTTGTAATGAGCATCCTTGAAAGACATTTCACATGTGTTGTCCCAGTATATTGCCAAAGATTACATCCCGTGTGACTCCATTGGGCGGACAATTTGTATAAGCTTGTGCCTCATTTCCTCTGTGTTTTGCCCAGTGCACTTTTCCCCTTTACTGATTTTGCTTTGTATCCTTTTGCTGTAATGAAGTATAGCTATGAGTATGACCATGTGCTGAGTCCTGTGAGTCAGGAAACCTGAAGGTGGTCTTGGCCTAGACACACCTCAGAGTCAAACGCAGACGGACTGCTCTTCCCATTCCAGCTCTTGTAGCCAGATGATCGTGAACAACTTATTTATGCACTCTACATCTCAGCATCTTCATGTATGTATTGCAGTTACTCCCAACCTGAGTTGTGAGGATTAAGTAATACTTATTTTGCACTTAACAGAGTGAATACCCTTTCCCCTTGATTTACTGTAACTAAGTACTCAGTGACAGTGAGAAGAGCAAAGCCATCCCAGTCATTCCTAGAAAACAGGTATCTGTAGAAAGAAGGAAA